ATGTTTACACTTTCAAATACCCAATTTTGGTCTCTTCAAAATCAGAAGATTAACAAGTCATAATGGATAATACGAGCAGTGATTAGCGCATTCGGTCGGTCCACATGTCCCTTTTAACACCCCTTTTAAGGGTTGATGCAGTTAGCTAGCGTCCTGGGTTTGTGGTCATGTGTTCAACTCCCACTCTTCGACTTACCTTGCTATCGTTGGGAAAATTCCAATTGGGTCGGTGCGGATACCCGAATGGACTAGTCCTTGGCTCAAAGGTTTGGGACACCCTCCGTTACAAAAAAAATAGAAAAATTAATACCCCTTTTAATTGTGGTTAAGCTTAACTAAATTAAGGTTAGGATTTTACTTTTTTCTAAAAACCAAAGTTAAATGGAAGAACCATAGGGATGAATGAATCTTAACCACAATTAGTGAGTGTTAAAAAAGGGGACGTGGACTAATGAGGACTGTGCATTTGGCTGGCTAGATAGCCAACTGCACGGTCCGCCAAACATTTCCCAAAATACAATAGTTTTTTTTTTAATGAATAAAATGGAAAATACAATTGTACAACATAGTATAAAGAGAATATCATATCCTTTAGTACCAGATAACCGGTAAACGTTTTTTTAACTACCAGTCACACATTTAGTGCGGAGGATTGATCAAATTATTCTCAGAAATCAAGATCACATTCCAACAATCAGATACATATTATCTATAGATAGATGGATATGTATACAGGGATGAAGACTTTTGTATCCTGAAAAGACTTTCTTTATGATAATAACTTCGTTTTCAACAATCTTTGAGCCAATTTTATTTCTATTTTAGTAGCACGCTTAATCCTAGGGAGCACTAACAATTGAGCCAATTTTATTTCTATTTTAGTAGCACGCTTAATCCTGGGGAGCACTGAGATTACCATATATCTGAAAGCAGTCAAGAGAAGCACTGAGCATTTTATGGAAAGAACCTTGCCATTGCAAAAAAAAAAAACAGTTTTAAGCAGAAGGTATGTCTAGATGTTGCAACCATGGACTCTACTAACTTAATTTGTTTTTTGCTGGGGGACTAGCAACTTAATTGAAAAAATAAAAATGGATACTATCAGTATTAGTCTGAGTATTCAAGACTGTGTTATGGTTTCCCACAGAGGATGTCCTAGGCCAACAGTCGTTGCAATTGATGACCCTGCGGCCATGCCATCTAGTTATAAACTTTTCCAGACTGTCCATTCAACATAATTCTTTTACCGTTTGAAAGAATTTGAAAAACATAATTCTTTTACCGTTTGAAAGAATTTGAAAAATCGCACGGCTACGACCATCCGTCTAGTGTTCTTATGTAGATACGCAAGTTGGGATTCCTTAAATGTGGTAACAACTCTCTCCATGTGCACCTTGTGTACATGTGTACTGTTTATAGTGGCCTACATAAGTCAGAAATTAAATTTTCCCCCTGGAAATAAAAGTCCTATTTTACTTACCCATTTTTCTAGCAAAATGTGCAACGGGGAAGAAGTAGAACATGACAAATCATGATAGTAAGAACTTTGAACACTGAATGCAATCAACAAAATGAAAGGGAACCACTGGGCTAGAACCACTCACAACAAAATAACTAACAAATTGGCAAAAATATTATTTCCTACCCAGTGCTTTTGTCATTAGAGTATCCAACCTCCTGTCACCTGCTCTTCTCAGTGCAACAGGAAGAAATTGAACCAGCTGCAGACTCAATTAAGTCCGCAAAAATATTATTTCCTACCCAGTGCTTTTTTTTTTTTTTTTACTCTCCAAAAAAAAATTAAGTCCGCAAACCAATAGCTGCAGACAAACTTTGTTGACAGTCAATACATGGCTGCCACGTGCCAGAGGATCCTAATGCTAGATAGGGACCCATTTTTTAAGCCCCAATGCTAAGGTGCCACCTGACACCCCCATTAATGAAAGGGATTACCTTCACCCCTCTCCTTCTCTGATACAATTTTCTCTCTAGAATAGAAGAGAACGTATTGCAGAGCCCTAAAAAAGGAAGACATTGCTTTCTAAAGTCAATTTGAAGAGTTAGCTATGCCTAAGTGCAAGTCAGATTCCAATTCCTATGAAAGATGTTTTTTTTAATCGGTTGTGAAAGATAAAGTTCCTATTTAAAAAATGGATGTCTAGTGAGTCTCATGTTTCGTAAGTTGACGTGTGAATCGCATTGATCTACCTGGCATCAATGAGCTTTTGGTATAAGATGCTCACGACTTGCCTATGTGATTTGTTGCGTGGAGTAGACGTAAAGAACGAGGTGTTCCGGTAGTAGCAACGTCTAAATGAAATGACTTTACGAAATCTTCCTTCATGGGGCCTCCTCCTTTCCTAAAATGTTGGATCAGATATCGAATTTAAGTAAACACACGAAGAGCGATCCTTTTTAGCCTGTTCATGAAAGTCCTTTGTTGCCTAGCAAAAATCCGCTCTGAGACCAGAGTTACCCAATGGGGGTAAACCACTATCTAAGGATATATAGCCTTCTCTAAAGAGAGTTGACCCTGAATTTATTTGCTCAAAAAAGGGAAACAGTATTAGAGATCCGACAATGACCATCCCTCTGATATAAAATAGGGGATCTTCAAGAGACTCCCAAGAAGACAAAACATCAGAGCACTCAGCAATAGAGAATTCCCCCCTATTGTTGTACAAGTACCGAAGAAGAAGACTCCTTCAACAGCCAAAAAACTATGGAGAACACTAAGTGAGCCCTCAAATGGCCACCTTTCTCCTTTGTTCTATACAAAGACCTCAATGAGGCATTTGTAAGTCTACATGGGCAATGGGCACCACCTATCAATAAAAAATACAATTTTATTATAAAATTCTCTTTTCGTGTTCATCTTCTTAATCAGAGCTACTCTTCCCTTAATTAACAATTTAGGTTTACCCAGGCTGGAAGGATAGTCCAAAAAAAAAAAATCGACTACACCCAAATTGATGAAGGTCATTTGATAGCAAACTTCAAGTATCTCATCCCTCAATGATGCTTGAAATTTCACTGTACACATGCTTTAATATTTTTAACGTTCAAGTATCAGTTATGTGACTAGGACCCTATATTCTATCATGAGACACCGACCTCAGACATAAAGCGTATCTCAATGCGTAGTACATGTGCCTCATGTTTGCCTCAAAATTTAAGGCGTTAGCCTTATGAGATTTAAGCCTCAAGATTAAGCTCGAGGCATTTTCTTTGAGTTTTGCCTTGAGATGTAAGCTTCAAACGCCTTTTAAAACATTAGTATATATATAATATTCATTAGTGACTGAAAAATCCTTTTCTTCCTGGAACAAGAAAAACTTTCAATAGTGACTAGGAATTTCATGTTGTGGCATTTGAACAAGAATTTGGAATATCTAATTCTAGTGATATTCTAGCTAGCAAAGATTCTGTACATGTGCATCACCACATCACTCCTCCCAAGCCCCAATAGAAGTGTGTGAGAGGATAAAAAAGTTTTAAGGAAGAAGTAAATTATCTACTTTTGGCAAAATACAATTGTAAACAAATTCTTCTTCTATGTCAGTGCCTTATCCCAACTAGATGTAGTCTTAATAAATTCTGAAATTACAATATGAGTAGAGCTTTAACAAATTTCATATTTAGAAGTTATGCTATTCGGTGTATAAAAAGGGTGGATGTATAGATTGTAAAGAGAGTTTCTTGTTCATTTGAATGGTGAATTGATTTTGATGTATTGAAGGGAATTTCATGGTGATTAGTATTTTTGACAACTAGTATGTTAATTAAGGCTCAGAATTGCCAGATCTTGTTATTTGCTATGGAAACTTTGGCTATTTACTATTGAAGATATTGTTGTATTTTTTTACTTTTATTTTTCCGGAATAGACTTTTGATATATCCGAATATATATCAGTAAAATTTGTCCTACATCTATGATCTTACATGTAATGAGTAACTGTCAGCCTCCAATGCAATCTTTCTTTTTTCTTTTTTTTGGGGTTAACAGTAAAATTTCAGTCAAAGTAGGAAATGGACAGGGTCCAAAATCAGGACATGATCCCTAAGTCTGGATATGATCCCTGCTTGGACTAGAGAGGCCTTTTACATTAAAATTAGAAGAAAACAAGAGAATGCTCTCATTGAGCGCTTTCTGTGCAACACAATGAGCGGAACCATTAGCTTCACGATTAATATAACAGAAATTCACTTCGACACACTTTTGCGCCAAAAACTTAATATCTTCCACTACAGAGCTAATTTCCCAATGAACAAGAGATGAGGAACCTGAAAGGAATTCCACTATCTCTTTCGAGTTGGACTCGATGATAACTTTACTCCAATCATTGGCGATAGCCCAAGACGAATAGCTTCCCCGTCCCCTTGGCTACATGAGCCCCCCCCGGGGGCCGAGTTTCCAACCTCTATCGTAAAATATAAGCAAGCTAAGCGAGTTAGAAGAAACTTAAAGTTGGGGGCTTTGTATTTCCCCAACTTAAATAGTAAAAATCACTGGACAAAAGACTCGTAAGAGAAAATCAAACTATAGTTAGAATAAAAAATGTGTATGAAGATATATTATCATTTTCTGTTTAAATTGTTAAATCAAACTATACATTGTAACTTAAAATATTAGCATTTCCAGTAAATGGAGATCAAAGCTTCAATTGTCAAGTGAACTTTTGGTTCCAGCTGCTACTTAAAGCTTGATTTCAGGTTTTCTGATGGATCAAAGGGCAAGATCATCCAACAGAAATTTAGTTCTCTAACGGATATGTCTCCGTTAGTTCAACTTATATTTCTTCTGATTATATTTATTTGAACCCACCTTAATCATATCTAAATCTCACAGAGGGTTTGGGTTCGGAAAAAAGAGCAGGGAGATGAACAACAATAAAATTTGAAGAAACTACGAAGTAGTAGAATGAAAAACGTGTAGGTACGCAAATAGAGAGTGGGTCTTTAGTCAACGAAAATTAATTCTTGCGCCAATAATAGTACAATGGAGATGCGGGGAATCAAACCCCGTACCACTCGCATGTTAAGGGAGCGCTCTACCATCTGAGCTCCATCCCTCATTATACATCAGTGACATTATTTATTAGATTACAAATGACATTTACCTGAAGAATCCTATTGCCAATCTGTTGATCTTATATTTAGACTATCTAAATCCAGTCGTGGTTGAAACAATCGCCGAAACCAATTCTTATTGGTTTTGGTATAACCCGTCATCCGATAGCTGGCTTTTATTGTTTAAAAAAGTAAAATAAGATTTGGTCGAGACCATTACATATCGCTCGAGTCTTATGATACGTGGCACTTTCGGCGTAAGACTCATTTGACGTTTTCATATAAAAGGACTTACATATAGGGCTGCAAACGGAGCGGATATTGGTATATCCGAATTCGTATTCGTTTATATATCCAAATATCCGTATCCGGATAAATATCCGGTGGATATTGAAATATGATATCCGTATCCGACTCCGATTAAAAATATCCGGATTCGGATAGTATCTGAATTATCCGATTATTTAAAAAAATAATTAAATTAATATTTAAAAATATATAATTTTTTATTTAAAAAATATATTTTAAAGGTATTATTAAATTTATAAATTTAAAATATATTATATAATCGAATGGATATTTAACGGATCGGATGTATCAGTATCCGAATATAAACGGATGGTGATTTACTATCCGAATTCGCTCCACCAGATATTTTTTCGGATAAATATCCGACTAAACGGATGCGGATGCGAATCGGATACGGATAATATCCGCATCCGTTTGCAGCCCTACTTACATATACCCCTTAAAAAAATCTCAAAACACTTTTGTTTTTCATTTTCTACTTCCTCTCAACCCATTCAACTCACTAATTTTATGTGACTTTAGTAGTATATTTCTATTTTCAACTCATCCACTGCATTATATTTCTAAAATACCTTCATTTAAACTCAATTTCTCATTCTTAACCTGTGAGGGGAAAAATAACCGGAAGGACACGCGTCAGCAGCAGCTCCTCCCACGCTCTAGTTTACTGGTAGAAGGTTGGAGCGGAGGGTGTGGCACCCTGACCTGTACTCCGATGGTAAAGTCAATAAGAGTAGAAGATGATGAACAGTAAACGCTAGAACAGTCACTGTTAAATACGCAAGGCACTGGATGCACTGAACACGTATTCTCGGATCTGGGTTAATGAACAAGTGTCCTGTGTACTAAAAATCACGGGGTTTTTATAGGGTAAGGTTGGTATGGCCATCGATAACCATGGATGGCCATAGGTGTCCATACCACGTGTCTTTGCACTCATTGCCAAATATCTTAGACATATCTGTCGCCGGTTGCATTACACGTGAGAGCCTCCTATAAGTCCAATCGGACGGGATCGGACGGTACGCAGAAGTGACCAGCATTAAATGCCAAGACAGTGCTTTCGGCACGAAACGGCGCGTTCGGCACGTCTGTCAGAATTATGGATCGCCTCCTGATCACTTCCTCCTACGAGTCGGTCTCGTTGTTGACTCAAGCTCGGTTACAGCGTAGATGCCTTAAAATACAGCACGACATCGTTGTCGGTGAGACAACGGGCTCGTTGTTCGCGTAACGACAACGACGTTGTCAAGAGCACAACGTTCACGTTGTGCTTTAGACAACGAGCACGTTGTCAAAGCCACAACGGAAACGTTGTTCTGCAAGAGAACAAAGACGTCGTAAGGCGCACAACGGGATCGTTGTGCATCAGACAACGTGTGACCCTTATATTTTAAGCACGTGACCCCAACTCGTGTCCACGTGTCACTTTCGTGAACAAAACGACAAAAACGAGCTCGTCCTCCAACGCTGAGTTGATTTTACGAATTCTATCCGTTACATAACCAATATTTTAAATCTAAATATACTCATGCTGCCTTGACCCATGATGCTCATCACTCCCGTCGTTGTCTCTTCCACGGGTAAAGCTTCTTCTTCTTCTTCTATTAATACGAGATTTGTTAAATATTTTAGAGACCAGGTACTGCAGCTTTGGGTTTGGTTCACAAAGGCTGACCACAAGTGAGGAGCGCTCGAGATGCACGGGCCTCCCCCTTTGAAAAGAGCTCATCAAAAGGGGAGATTGAGAGTGAGAGGTTTCGATTAGTCTAGCTATAGCTCCAGGCAGACCACACAGTGAAATTGATCTCTTTATTCATCTGTTTTTTCTTTTTATTTTCACATTATCTGTTCTATTCAGTTTTAATTTTGTCTCTCATTTTCACACTTTTCTAGTTAGAAAACAAAGAACCTCGTCCAGAATACCTTAGCGTTTGGTTTAATTTTTGCAACCTTTTTTTGTTTGACACTTTTAAAGTGATTCACATGAAAGTGCTTAACATGTAGTTTTTATTTAAGAAAGCCTGTTCTATTCAGCTTTAATTTTGCCTCTCATTTTCACACTTTTCTAGTTAGAAAACAAGAACCTCGTCCAGAATACCTTAGCGTTTGGTTTAATTTTTGCAACCTTTTTTTGTTTTGACACTTTTAAAGTGATTCACATGAAAGTGCTTAATATGTAGTTTTTTATTTAAGAAAGCCTGTTTGGTTTAGGAAGACAACGGCTGGGATAATCGGGTAACCCTCCCCTCCCTTATTGGGACTGGTTGGGGAGCTTTTAAATGACGGGTTTGGGAATTAGGTGTTAAACCCGAGTAGGGTTCGGGCTGGGGATGAATTTAGGCCGCCCCGTCCCGTTTATAATGTCAAATCACTATTTTATCCTTAATTTAATACTAATATTACCTTATTATTATATTATAGTATGAAATATAGTGCTGACCTGTCCCAACCCACCCCGACCCGCCCCATCTAGTGCTTAACAGGATGGGATGAGGGGGAGACGGGGTCAAGAAATGTTTTGAAAATTTGGAAGCATCCCACCCAGGTTTGGCGTAGGAGTTTTCCATTAGGGGCAGTGTCAGGTTGGGGCGCCTCGACCCAAACCCGCCCAGTTGCCATCCCTATTTACACCTAACAAAAAAAGGGGGGGGGGGGGATTGCCCCCTTGTACTTGTTGCATTTTTTTAGGAAAAAGTTAAGACGAATACATATGATGTCTGTGAGCATGAATTTTTACCCACTTGGTTTGCTTGAGAGTCACCACCTATTCATTCTTAGGGATAGGTCCCAAGATTGGATTTAAAGATAATGGTCTCGATTAGAGTTAGGGTAAGCGGTTCGATTAATTCCCGGAGAAAGTGTTAGGCACCCTAGGACCCCCATTTTACAATGGTTACCTACTCCCTAGATTTAAGTCAAATTAAAGTCAAGATTAATTAAAATGCCAAAGTGTTTAGAGTATGCTAATTCAAGAAAAAGAGAAAGCTAACTAGGCTAAGGTCGAACCGGGGTTAAGTTGTCTACGTACTCACAAGGTGAGATCAGACTGAACGTAGTTCTGGCACATAGACTCGTGCCAAACTTAAGAGGTGTGTGTGTGTGTACATAAGGGTGGCTTAAGGGTTAACCCGAGGGCTAGGGTTGATTGACCAGGAAGGTCAAGTGCAAAAGTGTTAAGTTTAACCACGGTTAGAGGAGATTTAATTATTGTTAGATGAGTTAACCAAAGCTAAGTAGGTCCTACAAGTCTCTTTTTGGTCTTTTTGTATTTTTTATATTTTCTGAGGATTTTTGGGGATATTTGAATGTTTTTGATATTTTGATATTTTATTTGAATGTTTTTCGTATTTTGGTTATATTTGAATGCTTTTGGTATTTTAAAATTTTATCATGTTTTTTTGGATTTTCATATAGGTAGGGTTTTGGCAAACTTAATTAAAATCAAATTTAACTCAAAAGAATTTCAAGGAGAGGTTAGGCTAAAAGATTGTATTTAGGACATAAAGAGTGATATTTGCATTATAAACAGTAGATGGTCTATTGTCAACACCTATTTTGTTAGATTGGTGTTAATGATAGATCAAATAAAATTGTCTTAGCATGAGGTATTTTGGACAACATCCTCTTTTAAGTCCTTAAACCATCTTTTTCCCATTCAAAATAAAACATGAAGAATAAGAAAAAAAAAGACAAATAGAGAAATTGAAAACTCATCATCTCCCTTTTAAGGTGGTTCAATTACACCATTATAAATGATATAGTATCACTCTAATGAATGTTAGAGAGGGGATGGGATTTCACAAAAAAATTTAGAAAGAAGACTAGAATCCCAAAAAAGAAAAAAAATGAAAAGAGAGATATAACTTTTAACTTTCACTCTCTATGGGCCTACCCATATCCATACTTGTAGATACATAAAAAAGAAAAAATATGTACATGAAAAGAAAAAGAAAAAAAGAACATCTTTTTGTTTTTGATATGGGATCCCTCTACACCATTAGATTGATCTAGAGATGTCCAACTATGCTTGAGAAATGAGAGACCAAGAAGAGAGAACTAAATAAAAATGAAATTAAAAATAAAAAAAATGATAAAAGAAGGAGTACCTACTCCTCCAAGAATTCTTCTTCAATGCTTCAAGAGGTAGAGTTTTGTTTAAAGTCCACAAAGGATGAGAGTTAGTGAAAAACTCTAAGCTTTTAATCTTAGAATTCTTTCCATACTCTAAACCTTAGTTTCTATTCACTTCTTCAAACTCAAGAGAAACACAAGTGGGTGGGAACCTTTTAGGGGTCATGAGGGATGGATCTAAAGAGGTAAGAGATTGATATTTATAGGAAAACTAAGAGATTGAATTGTGTCTTTTACATGGTGGATAAAAGGAGTTAATAGGTAAAAAGTTGAGTGTTGTAAGGTGAGTTGATAGGTTGAGTATTGTAAGGAGTGTAAGAGAGTTGATAGGTTAAGTGTTGTAAGGGGTGTAAGAGAGTTGTAAGAGGTGTAAAAGAGTTAATGGGTTGAGTGCACTATAAGTTATATAGGCATAGGTTGTAGGATATAGGTTCGGTGGATATGGATATGTGGACTAGATCTTATGGATCATGGGTTATTAGTTGATGGGTCACGGGTTATGGTTATTGGACTTTGACTATGACATTTGGACTTGGGCTATGATAAATAGGCTTTGGCTT